GGGAGGGGACATATATATATCACATATAAATGATTCACGTCCTTGTACAACAGAAACTAACACAATGTTGTAAAGCAATTGTAGATAATTTTTAAAAAAGAAAAAAAGGGGAGAATGCCCAAATTAAGATTACATTAATCTTTCATTAAGATTACAAATGAAAATGGAGAAATTACAACCACACCACAGAAATACAAAGGATCATAAGAGACTACTACATGCAACTATATGCTAACAAAATGGATAACCTAGAATAAATGGACAAATTCTTTAAAAGGTACACTCTCCCAAAACTAAACGAGGGGAAAATAGAAAAAAATTAACAGACCAATTACCAGTGCAGAAATTGAGCCAGTAATTTTAAAACTTCTAAGAAGCAAAAGTCCAGGATCAGATCGCTTTACAGGTGAATTCTACCAAACATTTAGAGATGAGTTAACACTTATCCTTTTGAAGCTACTCCAAAAAATTGCAGAGGAAGGAACACTTCTGAATTCATCCTGTGAGACCACCATTACCCTGATTCCAAAACCAGACAGATATCATACATGCAAAAAGAAAACCCCAGGCAAATATAATCAATACAGATGCAAAACTCCTGAACAAAACACTAGCAAACCTACTCCAACAATACAGTAAAAGGATCATATACTATGATCAAGTGGGATTTATATCAGGGATGCAAGAATTTTTCAATATCAGCAAATCAGTCAGTGTGCTATACCACATCAACAAACTGAAGAATATAAATCATATGATCATCTCAAAAGATGTAGAAAAAGCTTTTGATAATAGTCAACATCCATTTTGGATAAAAATGCTTGAGAGTAACCACAGAAGGAACATATCTCAATGTAATAAAGTTAATATATGAGAAACCCACAGCTAACATCACACTCAACAATGAAAAGCTGAAAATATTTCCTCTAAGATCAGGAATAAGACAAGGAGGTCCACTCTCACCACTTCTATTCAGAATAATTTTGGAAGTCCTAGTCATAGAAGTCAGAGAATAAATAAATAAATGGAATCCAAACTGTAAAAAAAGTAAAACTGTCACTGGTTGAAGATGACATGATTCTGTACATAGCAAATCCTTACTATCCTAAGATGCTACCAGAAAACTACTAGGGCTCATCAGTGAATTCATAAAGTGGCAGGATACAAAATTAATGCATAGAAATCTGTTGCATTTCTATACACTAACAACAAAAGATTAGAAATTAAAGAAACAATTCCATTTATCATCACATCAAAAAGAATAAAATACCTAAGAATAAATCTACCTAAGGAAGCAAAAACCTGTATCCTGAAAACCATAAGACACTGATGAAAGAAAACAAAGATGATGCAGACAGATGGAAAAACATATCATGTTCTTGGATTAAAAGAATCAATATTATGAAAATGGCCATACTAGCCAAGGCAATCTACAGAACTAATGTCATCTCTATCAAATTAACCTATGGCATTTTTCATAGAACTAGAAATCTTTATGGAAACACAAAAGACCATAAATAGTCAAAGCAATCTTGAGAAAGAAGTACAGAGCTGGAGGAATCAGTTTCCCCATCTTTAGACTATACCACAAAAGTACAGTCATCAGAACAGTATGGTACTGGTGCAAAAACAAATATATATCAATGAAACAAGATAGAAGGTCCAGAAATAATCTTAGGCACCTGTGGTCAATTAACCTATATCAAAGGAGACAAAACTATATGATGGAGGAAAAATATTCTCTTTTATAAATTGTTTTGGGAGAACTGAACAGCTACATGTAAAATAATGAAATTAGAACATTCTTTAATACCATACACAAAATAAACTCAAAATGGGTTAAAGACCTAAATATAAGACCTGAGAGTACAAAACCCTTGCAGTAAAACATAGGCAGAACACTGACAAAAATCATAGCAATATTTTTTTTGGCCCTGTCTCCTAGAATAATGAAAATAAAAACAAAAATAAATGGTACCTCATTAAACTCAAAAGCTTTTGCACTGCAGAGAAAACCATAAACAAAATGAAGACACTATCCGTAGAATGGGAGAAAATATTTGTAAATGATGCACACCACAAGGAATTAATCTCCAAAATTTAAAAACATGCAACTCAATATAAAAAAAAAAAATCAAAAACTGAGCAGAAGACATTTCTCCAAAGAAGACAGACCAATGGCAAACAGGCACATGAAAGATGTTTACCATCACTAATTATTAGAGAAATGAAAATCAGAACTACAGTGAGATATCACCTGAGACCAGTCAGAATGGCCATCAAAAAATCTACAAACAATACATGCTGAAGAGGATGTAGAGAAAAGGGAAGGAATTTGCCTACAGTGTTGGTAATGTGAAATTAAAGTGTTAGTCCCTTAGTCATGTCTGACTCTTTGCAACCATGAACTGTAGACCGCCAGGCTCCTCCATCTATGGCATCTCCAGGTAAAAATCTAAGAGTTACCATGTGATTCAACAATTCTACTTCTGGGCATACATCTAGAGAAATTCATGATTTGGAAGGATACATATACCCCAGTGTTCACTGCAGCACTGTTTACAATAGCCAAGACATGGAAACAATCTAAATGTCAACAGATGAGTGGATAAAGAAGCTGTGGTTTGAGATGGTGTCACCTGGAACTTGAGCCAACTGCACAAGAGTATTGGAGGTCTGGTGAGAGACCACAGCCAAGAACAAACTAATAGAGCAGAAATCTAGGAATGTATTCCACATAGCCAGCCAAAAAAGCTTTAAGGTTAAAAATAAAGCAAAACCAGTTACCACTAATCATAAGAAGATAAACATTGTTAATGATGAAAAAGTTAACAGAGTGAATAAAGCTTTTGTAGATATGCAAAAGAAACGCAAACTTCTCAAAAGGCCTTTCCCTTGAACCTCTGCAGAAACAGCTGATTTGTCAGCAGTGACATGAAAACAGCAGTTAACGTCGATGAAGCTACAAGATTAATGGCTCAGTTGTAAAATACACTGGTGATGCATCAAATTTCCCCAAAAGACCAATCAATTAAACATTTTATACAAAAAGAAGATGTGATACATATATACAGTGGAATATTACTTAGTTCTTAAAATGAATGAAATAACCTCATTTCATTGCAAGATGTATAGAACTGGAGATTATCATACTAACTGAAGTAAGTAAGAAGAGAAAGACAAATATGATATTCTATTACATGAGGAATCTTTTAAAAAGTGATACAAATGCTTTTACTTACAAAACGAACAAACTCACAGAGTAGAAAACAAGCCTGTGGTTACCAAATGGGAAAGGCAGCGGAGGGACAAATTGGGAATTTGGGATTGACATAAACACACTACTATATTTAAATAGATTAGCCAACAAGGACCTACTGTATAGCACAGGGAACTCTGCTCAGTATTCTGTAATAACCTAAATGGGAAAAGAATTTTGGGAGGGATGTTCAAGAGGGAAGGGACATAGATATACCTATGACTGATGAATGTTGATGTTTGGCGGAAATCAACACAAACTGTAAATCAATTATCCTTCCACTAAAAATAATTTTATAAAGAATAGATTCATGTCAATGTATGACAAGACCCACTGCGGTATTGTAAAGTGATTAGCCTCCAACTAATAAAAATAAATGGAAAAAATAATAATAAAACTCATGTAAGAAGCTCAAAATAAACTGCAGGATCACAGAAAAAATAAAATAAAAAGAATAGATATATATGTATGTATCACTGATATAAACAAAAAGCAATGAATAAAAAGTAATCATAAGGGGAGGGGGGAATGTGACCCAAACTCCAATTTATTACCACAGCAGTGTTCTTCTTACCCAGTTTCATGCAGAGATGAAACCTCCCCTAGGAATTATCTGTTAAGAGAGAAGGGAGACTCCTGACATCCAGCAAGAAGAGAGATCAGGAGGTGTTCATGGGGGCAGTGGGGTGAGGAGAGAGATTCAGCAACTTAAAGGCTATTGAAAACCTGTCTCTGTGTTTTTCCTATAAAATATTAAGGTCTATCATTTTGTTGGGATTTTACCTTTTTCTAACTACCAGTATTTGATACTTTATTAGGGAAGGAGTGCTTTCATTATTGAAGGACAACTTCTAGGCAAAGTGCCATCCAAGTAAGCCTTGAATGATGAGTGGGAGTTTGCCAGGCCCTGGGGTAAGCTAGGATGGGGTGAGCCCGGACAGAGAATTGTAGGCAGAGGCACGTGCCAGAGGGCAGTTCACCTGAGTGCATCCAGAGAATGCAGGTGGCACATGGAGGCAGGGATGGACCATGTCTAACTGTGCTGCTTGTCAGCTGTTAATCAGTCTGTGAGCACTTGGTGTGTGTAGCACTGCCAGTCTTTTAAATGATGTTCTGAAGCTCACAGTGAATGTGTCTGCTTCAGACCTTAGGAATGCAGCATAAATGATAGATTGTGTGAAGCTAAAGGTCACCGGGAGTCACTGGCAGCCGTGCAGTATTTATTGCAAGGCCCACCAAGGGTCTTCTGAATTGACTGTGGTCGAAATCAGCCTAAGTCTTCACCAGATGAACTGGTTGGACATCTCCTATGCCTTATGAGACCAAGGAGGTGTTGCGCTGTTGTTAAGGAGGAAACATAAAAATCTAAGGAGATTTGTGAAGTTTGTTAAAATAACCACTACAATTACAACCACTGTAATCATCCTCCAATTAAAATAAATTTTTTAAAAAAGAAAAATTTTTTAAAAAAGAAAAATAAATCACTCCATTAATTGAACGTGTAAAAAGTAAACTGTATTCAAGCTCGGGCCTTTATGTGTATCACATATATGATTTATATCCAATGTTCAGATGAGGAAAGGGAGGTTCAGTGGGGCTAGTTACCCTCTAGTCCTGTTTTTCAAGGAGGCCGGGGGATAAACTGCCCCGTGTTTGTTTCATAGCTGATCTTTACGAGGAAAGACCACCAGCGAGATTTGCCAAATTCTGCTTTAAAAAGACATGTCTGTCAAACTTGTAGGTGGAAACTGAGACCAACGTCCTGCAGGATGGCTCCCTCATCGACCTGTGCGGGGCCACCCTGCTCTGGAGGACGGCGGATGGCCTCTTTCACACCCCAACCCAGAAGCACATCGAAGCGCTGCGGCAGGAGATCAACGCGGCGCGGCCGCAGTGTCCAGTGGGGCTCAACACCTTAGCCTTCCCCAGCATCAACAGGAAAGAGGTGGTGGAGGAGAAGCAGCCCTGGGCGTACCTCAGCTGCGGCCACGTGCACGGCTACCACAACTGGGGCCATCGCAGCGACACGGAGGCCAACGAGCGGGAGTGCCCCATGTGCAGGACTGTGGGCCCCTACGTGCCGCTCTGGCTCGGCTGCGAGGCGGGTTTTTACGTAGACGCGGGGCCGCCCACTCACGCTTTCACCCCTTGCGGACACGTGTGCTCAGAGAAGTCTGCGAAATACTGGGCTCAGATCCCGCTGCCTCACGGAACTCACGCCTTTCATGCCGCCTGCCCTTTCTGTGCCACGCAGCTGCTTGGGGAGCAGAACTGCATCAAACTGATTTTCCAAGGTCCAGTTGATTGATGCCCTCAAGAGCCAGCGACGACTTTATTAACAAGTTACTGTGAAGATTTTGCCACTCACTCTGGATTTTACCTTTTTATAATGCCGTTTATTAGGGGGAGGGGGGGGTCCTGAAGCTAGGAAGAAAGAGGGGCACGGTGATGAAACATGCCAGGCATTGACCATAACCGTGGTGCGTTGCATGCTCAGAACAGCGGCATCATCATTGAAGTGTGCTTGATTAAACCGTAATACCTTTGTAACAATTGGATTTAAAATGCCATGCTTTCATTTCGACCTTGGGGTTTCTTTGGTAAACTGAGACAGGAGTTTAAATCCTATTTTAAAACTCCAGAAGAAATGTATTCAAAAGTTGTTGGCTCTTAATTCCAACCTTCGGAGCTGCGTGGTGTAGGTTTTAGTCATGCCCTATCTGGAAATACTTAATACCGGTTAGAATCTGACTAGATACCAAAAGAGGGGCTCTGTAAGATGATGTTGGGGACAGGAGACCTTAAGTACAGGTGGTTGTTTTGAAATCTGCGGCTTTTGTTATTTTTCTTTTGAGGGGAGGGAATATGTTGTCATTTTTTTTTAACTTCAGTGGCATTTAATTACTTTATACACACATTCATCAAATATCTTGGCATTTCAAAGAATTTTCTCTAACTTTTTGGTCTGCCTTTTGTTATTTTTGATCTGCCATGGTCTGTGTCCGTGATACTCATCTTGCATGGGTAGAGCTATTTGGTTGATTAAAATGTAACAACTCTTATAAAACATTCATTAAATGAGGGTGATTATTGCAGCAGGAAACATGGCCCAGGTTATCTAATATCAGGTTCATTTGCTTGCTGAATAATTGGAGTGATTAGAAATAAGGTTTTACTCTTTAAAACCACTTGTTGGGGTTTCCTAAGTTTTTCTTAAGAAAGCCAAAATTCTGTGAACTTAAAAGCAACATAACACAGCGATGCAGTCAGTTTTGTTCACTCCCCTTCTGCCATCTGTCGCCTTCCACTGCAGCTTACAGAGCCCTGTAAGTTTTGAAAATGTTTGCAAATCAAACTAAATTTAAATGTAATCATTAGATACACAACACCAAGTGGTACATCTGCAGAGAGCGTTTGAAATTCCTGATTTCAAGAGAGCAAATGAGTGTTTACTGAGGAATAATTAAATCAGAATTTCATATGAGCTCCACCAGCCCTCTCTGTTAGTTTCATTTTTGAATAATAATTCTTGGATGTTCGTTCTCTGTGCTCGGTACCAGTGTATCACCATTTCCATGATGCAAAGAGCCTTCAGGACATGCCCCTGCCAGAGCTGGCTGGGATGAAAGATTCCTGCCACGCGGAGCAACTATGTTTAAATTAACATCCTCTTAAATTGACCATTGCAGATTCATGCTGCATTTTTTTAACCTTTGTAAAGATATATAATTTATATGATTCTAATATACTGTATTCCTGTTCTAATTGGATTATTCCATGGTTTGCCTGCTAGCAAATATTTTGCCTATTTTCATTTGTTCTAACCCATTTTGAAAGCCCTTTTCCTTAACGTGATAAGATCTATTCATCTTGATTGCTGCTGCTTAAGTTGATTTAATATATAAAAAGTTCATCCTATAAGTTTTCAAATAGCTTTACTTTTTAGTGGAGATTATTGTTCATGATGAGGTGGTTTTGTTTTGGTAATTTTTAAGTGCTGTGAAAATCCAACAACAGTCCTCTTATTGATAGCTTACTGTATTCTGTATAGCTTGCTCAACCTGCAGAGAATGAAAGAAAAAAATGAAATTGCCCAGAATATCAAATGCCTTTTGACATACCCAGAGTCTCCCATGGTTAGCTTTTACAAATGTGATCTGTGCCGCTTTAGGCTCCACAAAATGATGCAGGAAGCACACAGTCCCTTTTCTTGCCATATGAAGAAGGTGATTTGAGGAGTCTTGATACCCTAAATTGCATCTTGTAAGATAAATAGGTAATATCTAGCCTTTCTAGATGCAAGACTATCAAAAACGTTTTTTTCCCCAAAAAGTTACCATCTGATATAATTTTCTATTTCAAGGACTATAGAAGTTAAAAGTCTAGTACTTCTACATGCAACCTATGCCCCAAAATAGTTATGTTCCAACTTGAAAGCTTTGACTTTTAGTGAACTCGGGTAAGAAATTCCAAGCTCTTGGAAGGGGTAACAGTGACCCACCCTCTGTTAGTGCCACATCTTTTCTTCTGACTTCCAAGTGAGGTTCCCTTTCCCCTGCCTGGGGAACAACAGCCAGGTTGCACCTCTATAGAAGGAAGCCAGGCTCATCTTGGCCACTTCCAGTAAGATCTTCTAACATTGATTAATGAGACTCCCCCTACCCCTGCATATTTGAGAGCAATTTCATTTGTGAGAATAAAGAACTCTAGCTCAGAGTAGAGTCATATAGTTCAGAAAAGGTAACTTCTCAGAAGTCATGCCTGTTATTATGTCTTACTTGACATCACATTCAAGGACAAATCCCACTTCCCAGGTGTATACATAGGAAATTGCAGACCAATTATCCTGATCTCAGCCTGACCAAAATGCCTTTTGTGACTACATTTCCAGAAAAACCCCAGTGATGTATTCCCATAGTTTTCCAACCCCCCCCCCCAATTGTTTATGCCAGTTTATTACCAAAAAAGAAGAAAAAGGAAAAAAAAGTTCAGAGTTAATGGGATACAACTCTGAATATTTTTCTAGCCTGGAATTTTTTTTTATTATCACTAATCGGTGCTGCCAGGCCATGCATGCTGCAACTCTACATTTTCCTTATTTGGTTTCGCTTTTTGCAAGAAGGGCTACAGTTCACATGGCAGAGTAAGTATTATGCTTTCTGTGTTTTTTTTTTTCTAACTGTAGCCCAAAAGAATTAAAATTTTTTAATATAAATAGCATATTTATCATTCCTCGATAGTTAATTATAGAGTTTGGTACCTTTGTGCCTCAGGGAAGCCACGTGACATAACTGGTTATAGAATTTCAGGGTTAGGGTGTAAAGAAAGGAGAAAGCCATTGGAAAAATGATGGGCTCCATTAAGGAGACTAATGAATCTGGATGCAGAAATATGCCAGGAACTGGCATACACATGATTGTAGTAGAATTTATTTCCAGGATCAGTAGGGAAATTATTTTTAAGTTATTACATCTACTATATTAGCTAAAGTTGAGGAGAACGCTTTTCTTCATAAAGCTTCAGTGCTTTGTTTTTGCTTACATTAAAAAAGAAAATTTTTTTCAACCCCTGCTGTTTGGGAGCTCAGTATTGTTATTTGGGCACTTTTTGAGAGTTTAAAAAGGAGCATGTTTTCTCCTCCTTAATTTAAGTGTAACATAGGTTACAAAGTTGTTACCTGCAGTTCTATGATTTTGATCAATGTTCCTTTTTAAATCCATTCTGTTCTTTGGATTGAAAGGATATATGATCACAACCTTGTTAATGCTGGCTAAAAAACACTTGTCAGCTTCATGCAATCCTGCCTTGTAACAGTGGAATTTCTGATAGACAAACAGCAGAATCTTGATTTTAAGCTGGATCCAGCTCTGTTCTTTTGGCTGTAGCTCTTACATCCCCACAGTTTAGCCTTCATGGGCAGAGGGTATGAAGTTCCTCCTTGAGTGCTAGAAGGAGAGCATGGCTCTGTTATCATTTCTTTATGACCCAGTCAAAGACCAGTAAGACAACTCCAGAACCTTTCTAAAAGAATGTACGCATTATTGAAGCAGTAAAACAGAAGGTTCAGTATTTCTTTTTAGTAAAACTAATATCCTCTCAAGTTTTCACCCTTATGCAGAATCCCTAGAGGAAGATAGGGAAAAGCAAATATTTTTCCAGTTCTGCTTAACTATTTCTCAACAAACAAAAACTCGATGAAAGGGAAGTTGTTTCTTTTTAGCTGAGATGACAGATTGTTTCTCTGTATTCAATAGTCTAGAAGCTAAGAGGGTGGTCATATTTACCATGTATAGTGTTATGAGCAGTTAAATTTTATGGATATATTTGTAAAACTGTTCTTTTATATTTCATGTCAAATTGAAAAGTTTATTTCTTCACTATTGTATCTGTGGAAATACAAGCCATTTTACAGGAAAAAATCTTCAAAAACTATTAAATGGATCTCAGTATCTTTGTGAGTCATTGTCTTCATCAGACCGTTCAGTAGGAAGTATATATAACAGTAGACTTGACTTCTGCATTTTTCAAACTTTCAGGTTGATCCCAAACAGTTGAGCTGATCATTGTTTTATATTCTGCACAATACCTATTTAAATCTAGATTCTGAAAATCTCAATTTTTTATTTGAAAAATTCCATTGGTGTTTATATTTGTGGCATTACATCATGGTCAAATCTAACTTTCAGGAGCATTTAACTTGGCTTGTAGAATTAATAGATTTTCTACATGGCCATTATAGTCACATTGCTACCTTTTTGATAATCTTCATTTACTTTTTAACAGCATAGCATTATGTGTAAGCCTCCAAGAAACTAGTATGTCTTTTCATAACAAAAGGTCTTTATGACAGTTTTTTTTCCCTCACCACATTGATATTTAAGGAGTCTTAAAACTCCAATACTTGGCCACCTCATGTGAAGACTTGACTCATTGGAAAAGACCCTGATGCTAGGAGGGATTGGGGGCAGGAGGAAAAGGGGACGACAGAGGATGAGATGGCTGGATGGCATCACCGACTTGATGGACATGAGTTTGAGTAAACTCTGGGAGCTGGTGATGGACAGAGAGGCCTGGCATGCTGCGATTCATGTGGTCGCAGTCGGACACGACTGAGCGACTCAGCTGACAACTGACTGAGTATTGTTGAAGGAAATAGATTTTTCATCCCCCCCCAAAAAAATATACATATAGGCATTTATTTCAGGATTAAGTATTCTAACACTTTAGTAAATCTAAAATGCCATGTGGTTATAGAAAAACAGCCAGTTACAGTTGTGAGATGCATTCCATTTTATAAGAGTATGAGAACTATTCAATGGGGAAAGAAGAGTATTTAACAGATGGAGCTGGGATAACTAGATATTCGATGCAAAAGAATGAAGTTGGAACCCTTCCTCACACAGTACACAAAAATTAACTCAAAATGGACAGAGCAAAAACTATAGAAGAGTAAACCTTTGTGACCTTAGTCAATGAGTTCTTAAACATCAAAAACACAAGCAACAAAAGAAAATAAATTTGACTTCAAAACTAAAATATTTTGTGCTTCAAAGGACACTGTCCTTTACACTTTGTCAAAAGCAAAAAGACAACCCATACAATGGGAGAAAATATTTGGAAATCATATCTAATAAGGAAATAGAATCCAGAATACCTGGAGATCTCATAACTCATCAAGAAAAGGACAGATGGCCCAGTTTAAAAATGGTCAAAAGATTTGAATAGGTATTTTTCCAAAAAAGATACACGAATGACCAATAAGCACGTACAGATTACCAGGAACATTAGGTATCAGAGAAATGCAAGTGAAAAACCAGAAAAATACCACTTCATACCCACTGTGAGAGTAGCAAGGGAAGAACAGAACCTGACTCCTTGTTGGATCTGTTTCTCTTTAACCTTTGCTCTCCATTGCTTTTGTTACTATAATCACTGAAAGGATGCTGTCTATAAGCTGTAAGCATACATAATGGCCTGCCCCGGGAAGCCTGCCCCTCTGCACGAGAAAGTTTAACTAAGGTACCTTTGTTTGGCTCACGGGGAAACATTCTCACCCTGCCCACTTGTGAAAGGTTGCAGGAAAAAAAAAGTTATCCCAGCCCCTCCCCCGCTGCTGGCTAAGCCAGAAGATATTCTGCAAGGCTTATGGCATTTTTTTACTTCCTCACCTTGTCCCTCTCTTTTTTCTACAAAAGATAATAGCATCCAGACCCTGATAAGACTAGAAACACTTGTCTGCCATCTTCTCAGAGGCCCGGCTTTTAGAATAAAGTCACTGTTCTGTTCCTTGCCTCAATACCTCATCTCCTGATTATTTGCCTGTCATGCGGCACAGACCAAGCTTGGATTTGGTAACAAGCTAAAATCAGAAAGATAGTAACAAGTGTTGAGAATGTGTTGAAAAATTGGAATTTTCATGCACTGTTGGTAGAAATATAAAATGGTACCTGGTGGCTCAGATGGTAAAGAATCCGCCTGCAATGCAGGAGACTAGGGTTCGATCCCTGGATTGAAAAGATCTCCTGGAGAAGGGAATGACTACCCACTCCAGTGTTCTGGCCTAGAGAATCCTGTGAACAAAGGAGTCTGGCGGGCTGCAGTCCATGGTTTTGCAAAGAGCTGAACATGACTGAGCGACGTAAGCACTCACACAGCACCCACTTTGGAGCTAACAGTTTACAGCTCCTCAAAATTTAAAATAGACAGCTACCCTGTGACCCAGCATTTTCACTCCTGAAAAGTGAAAGTGACTCAGTCGTGTCCAACTCTCTGTGACCCCAGGGACTATGCAGTCCATGGAATACTCCAGGCCAGAATACTGGAGTGGGTAGCCTTTCCCTTCTCCAGGGGATCTTCCCAACCCAGGGATGGAACCCAGGTTTCCCTCATTGCAGGTGGATTCTTTACCAGCTGAACCACAAGGGAAGCCCAAGAATACTGGAGTGGGTAGCCTATCCCTTCTCCAGCAGATCTTCCCAACCCAGGAATCGAACTGGGGTCTCCTGCATTGCAGGAGGATTCTTTCCCAACTGAGCTATCAGGGAAGCCCCATTTTCATTCCTAGTATGTGCCAAAGAGAATTGTGAAACCAAGCCAGGACCCTGTGGGCTCTCCGGGGTATAGATCCTTTCTTTTCATGTCCCCAGTTTATAATTTGTAGGAAAGAGGCTTTGTTCAGCCTGCCCTGAGTTCCAAAGGGCGGATTCGGACTGTTGCTCATCAGAAAAGGGAGGGGATGCAGAAACAAAGGAGAAGTCAAGAATCAGTAGTGCAGTAACATGGCAGGGTCCTGGTTCCTCCTCAAGGAATAGACACAACAATATATCTTTGAGTTCTTCTGCAGGAACTAAGGCCCCCACTACTTAGTTGGGGACTAAGGAACTATCCTCTATCCTCTGTCCCCCACCAGGATAGAGGATGGTAACTTATGGCTAAGCCAGGATTCTCGGAGCTCCACCTTGTTACCTCACTACCAACCAGTCACACCCTGCAACCCTCACCTGAAATTATGCCTATAAAATCTTGTCCCCAGAAACCACCAGAGAACTCAGGAGTTTTATTTTATCATGAGCCACCCTGTCCTCCTTGCACGGTCCTGCAGCAGAACTGTCTCTGCTCCGGATTCTGATGTTTTGGTTTGTGTGGCTCACTGTGCATCAGGCACACGAACTTGTGTGTGGTAACAGTAGTGACCACATTTGCACAACTCTGAATATACTAAAAGCAACTGAGTTTTATACTTTTAAGGGATGACTTATGTGAATTCTATGTCAAAACTAATTTTTAAAAGATATATACTGAATTCAGAGATGTTAGAAAAATGTGATTCCTAGAATTGACTGTAGTAGCATATAGCAAAGGAAGCCATAAATAAAAGGTAAAGACAGCCTGCAGACTGGGAGAAAATATTTGCAAATAATGCAATGACAGGGGGTTGATTTCCAAAATGTACAAATAGCTCCTACAACTCAACAAAAAAAAACAAAACAACCCTATCAAAAAGTAGGCAGAAGACCTAAATAGACATTTCTCCAAAGACATGCAAATGTCCAAAAGGCACATGTTCAGAATTACTAATTATTAGAGAAATGGAAGTCATTGAAATACCACCTCACATCAGTCAAAATAACCATAATTTTAAAATGTACAAATAAATGCTGGGGAGGCTTTGGAGGAAAGAGAATCCTCCTGCACTACTGGTAGGGGTGTACATTGGTGCAGCCACTATGGAAAACAGTATAGAGGTTTCTCAAAAAACTATAGAGTTGCCATATAATCCAATAATCCCCCTCCTGGACATATATCCAGACCAAACTCTAATTCAAAAAGATACATGCACCCCTGTGTCCCTAGAAGCACAATAACCACAACAGCCAAGACATGAAAGCAAACTAAATGTTCATCAACAGATTAATGGATAAAGAAGGTATGCTATGTATATGCATATATATACACACAATGGAATGCCACTTGGCCATAAAAAAAAAAAATGAAATAATGCCATTTGTAGCAACAAGGATGGACCTAGAGATTATCATACTGAGGTAAGTCAGAAAGACAAATATCATATGATATCACTCGTATGTGGAATCTAAAATATGACACATTTGAACTTATCTATGAAACAAACACAGACTCACAGACATAGAGAACAGACTTGTGGTTGCCAGGGGGGATGCATTGGGAGTTTGTGATTAGCAGATGCACACTATTATATATAGAATGGATAAACAACAAGGTCTTACTCTGTGTGTGTGTGTGTGTGTGTGTGTGTGTGTATAACAAGCATTTTGCTGTACAACAGTAATTAACACACTATAAGTCAACTATACGTCAATAAAATTAAAATATAGTACCACATACTTTCTTAGTCATTGAGATAAAAATATTCAAGATCCTCAAGTTTTTGCCTATCTTGAGATGTTTTCCAAAGTCTTACAACATAAATCATTTCTTTCTATCTTGCTTCCACTGGTCATTAGCTAAAGAGAATATACACATAAGTCTACTTAAAAAATTACAAGACAGCATCATATTTTTAAGGACTGTCTATTTTTGCTATCAGGAGGAAAAAATAGAACACTATTTCTGAATGAATAGAATGCTGTTTTAAAGAATAGAATGCTATTCTGAGACCTCAAAATCGACTTTCTTTAAAATGGTGTTTTTGAAAGCAAAAACTTTTATAACCAAAATAAAAGCCAACAGAGGTACACTGTAAAAAAGAAAAAATTAACACCTAGTAAGTATGAACTTCATAATCCCACCACCTAGAGAGAAACACTTAATATTTAGAGGCTTATCCTTTCTAAACTTAAATAAATTTTAATTGTGACTTCAATTTCATTCTGGTCTTACTCTTAGTTATTTAATTACAAGAACTTTTTAATGTAAATTAGGAAATGTGGCTTTGGGAACAGAGGGAAACATGATGACTTATATGTTCTGCAG